ACAGGGGCACGATCACTTCCCTAGTTGTAGCGGTGGAAGTAAACTTAAGTGATGCTGTTTGAGGGCTGCAGCTGTTCTTGCCTTCCAAAGACTCCGAAATAGAACGCTTGCTTCTTAATGTTCTTCCTGCGTAGTGCCATTCTAAACGTAGGTTCGTGATTGTAAGTCCACTCTACTCTAGCGTGCCCTTCTTACTGCTTCCAGAAGGGGATCAGCCCAGCTTACTGACACAACAAACATCAGGAAGAGGTGATGCAAATGTTCACTCTAGAGCTAATGTGTGTTTCTCGTTTTGTAAAATGCACGTTAAGTGAAAGTGATATGCCTAGTCTTCTGTCGTGCTTTGCTAATGGAATAGATCCTCTAACAGGAATGAGCGTTACTGGGCCAAGGGCAACTTCTGAACTCTGTAAATCCAAGGAGAACAAATTAATAATCAGTCCATTCTCTTCTTTAAACTGATCTGTGTATTTGTCTCTCTGCAGTCCCTAAAGCTCCAGAGATAGATCTAGCAGCATGTCTGGTTGCTGATAGCTGCATAACGGTATCGTGGAGAATGCCTGAAGAAGAGAGCAGAACGGATCATTTTGTGCTGGAGTGTAGGAAAACCAACTTTGGTGGGCTTCCTCAAGTAATCGAGATGAACAGCGTTGGGAACGCTGGGATAGACTGTATTAGAGCTACTGAATATGCCTTCTCAGGCAAAGGTTTTTTATACTTCAAAACCAAGAATATTGATAAAACTCTTTATGCTTGGAAGTTTTGCAACATACCCATTTTTCTGTATGTAATGAAGCTTCCATTGTTTCGCATTAGCCTTGGGTGCTTTGTACAATAATGGCTCTGCCTTTTATTCTGACTTTGAGGTTTTGTAAATAATTGTGTGTTAAATGAAGTTCACACTGATGCTCAAGCTTGTTTGTTGCAGACTGAGATAAATGGAAGACAGCTACAGGGAATAGACCTTAGTCTTGTAAAAATTGTCAGTAATTAATCTCAATTCAATTTTCTAAACATTCACTTTTTAGATCTGAAATTTGATACAAAATACATGAACCTTAGAGTACAAGCTCGCAACAAAGCTGTGGCAGGGGAATACTCTGATCCTGTGACTCTGGAAACCAAAGGTAAAATTTGAAAGACTCTAAGCTTAGACGTAGTGAAAACCCTGCACTTACTGTTCTGCCTTCATATCGGGCCTTGTATGTTCAGTCTGCTTCTGCACTGAAGCACTGCTGAAACGTGTGTCGTAAGTGAAAAGGAGAACAACCATTTCTGTAAAGGATTAAGAAGCTTATTGGCACAAAGCTGGCCTTCCAGCCTTCAGACACTAAAAATGAGGTAGTGGTGTAACTTTCTCCAACAGAGCTTGACACTGGTTGTTCTGAACTGTGGATTGACAGTATTATGTGCCGCCAACATATAGCAAGAGAAGATGAACGTTGTGGCTGAGCATCAGTAGGAGTCTTAGGGCATCTAACAGTTGGTGTGCAGTTGGCTGGTTATTGGTACTTAGCAGGTGACTGGTAATAGCTTTCTGTAAACAGAAGGGGCTGAGAAGGATTTTTCTGACTTTGTAGTTGTAGATTCTAATCACTGTCAATATTCAAAAAATAGGCAGCTCCAAATTGCTGAAGTTACTAAGTCATAGTGTTAGAAATCGGTTGGTCTGAGGATGGTGGCTTCCTAGCATTGTTTTGTAAATAAACTAGAAGAAAAATTTCTTGGAAGTGATGTTTTGTGACAGAAGACAAATCTTAACTATTGTGGTGGAAATAATGATCCTGAGGCTTTAATTATAGCCAGGTCTGTAGTGTGAAGGGCAAAATGACTGATATGAACTGGATAATTAAAATATAAATCCTGTTACTTGTGAATGTTACTTCATAAAAACAAAGCTATATCCAATTTGAATGAGCTGATGTGCATTCTGGTAACTTTTATAAAACGCTTCTAGTATTCTTAAGCCACAGTCGTCGTCAGATCTACAGTATCCATTTAACAGCCACTTACATTCCTTGCTCCAGTACCAGAAAAATAGTTCTGTTTTTGATCGTTGGGGCAGCTATCAAGCTTCCCATATTATTTTCGTTATTTCTGTGTGAACACTTAGTTCACTGTCTTTAATAATCGGCCCATGGACACTCAGTATCCTCGTCCGTGTGCTTACCTTACTGTTTTTTAGACTTGGGTGCTGTTGAGCTCTAAACTCTTAAAATCTCAAGTGTACTTTCTTTCAGAATCAGACTATAATATCTGATGGTGTTAGGACACTTACAGAATATTCTGTAAGTAAACATCTTTAGGGGACTTGGCATGTGGTATTAGGTTTGTTTTCTTGGATGAAGGACTTGGCTGCAGCAAATACCAAGTCTCTTCTAGTTGCATGCATCCTCTACTGTTCTTGTATCTGCAGTTGACTTCACAGTTCAACTCTGCCTTGCCTGTATGTGCTACCCTGTCAAGTTAGTATTCCCCAAGTTTGCAATCCTCATTAATCATAAACACCTTGTTGGAGAATCAGTGCTGCAGAGCGTGGAAAATAAGCATACCTTTTAAAATCATTCATGACTGTAGGAATCTAGGGAGTAGGCTGTAACTAGCAGAAAGCACTACCTGAATTTAATTACTGATACTGCAGCATTACAAAGATGAAAAAACTTACTTTGATGTAACCTATACGCTGAAGGTAGATAGTTGGCCTTTATTTAAAGGGCTTCTTACCTTGATTACAAGCATCAGACTAAAAAGCTGATGTTTCTGTTAACTCGAATAGTGCTCTGCTACGATTTTACTACTGCTTCCATCATTTTCTGTGAATAGCCACAGTTGGGAGAGAGCATTATACCATTTCACTGTTCCACATTTTGTCCTGACCAGCATTTGTGTTCAGTTTGGACAGTACTTCATCTCATCTGAACTTGAAAGTTGAAGGTACCTATGTTGAGTGGGATCCTACTGGAGGCAAAGGCCAAGAAAAAAACAAAAGAGAAGGAAAATACAAGCAGGTAAGAACTCTGCTTTGTAAATGTTTACATTGCCTGGGATGTCTCATCTGGCAATTAAGGGAAGAGGGGGGAGTTAAAGTACTTGAGGACAGTGGGACAGCAAAGGAATTTTCACTGAGAAATTTATCTCTGGAAGAAATCCTAATTTTTCATTTCCCTTCCCCTGTCACACAGATGCAGAGGCTATTTATGGAAGCTATTAGAAATGTGTCTTAATCATTAAATAGAATTTAAGTCTTCCTAAAATACATTTGTTAGGGTATAATTCAAGGTACTAAAATAACTTGTAGATGTGGTGGGCTGACCTTGGCTAGCCACCAGGTGCCCACCAAGCTGCTCTATCGCTTCCCCTACTCACTGGACAGTGGGAGAGAAAATACGACGAAAGGCTCGTGGGTCGAGATAGGGACAGGGAGATCACTCTGCAGCTACTGTCATGGGCAAAATAGACTCGACTTGGGGAAATTTAAATTAATTTATTGCCAGTCAAAAGTCAGAGTAGGATAATGAGAAATAAGAACAAATCTTAAAATACCTTCCCCCCACCCCGCCCTTCTTCCCAGGCTCCAATTCACTCCTGACTTCTCCACCTCCTCCCCCCGAGCAGCGCAGGGGGAAGGGAAAAGGGGGTGGGGGTGAGTTCATCATGTGTTGTCTCTGCTGCTCCTTCCTCCTCACACTCCTCCCCTGCTCTGGCGTGGAGTCCGACCCAAGGGAGACAGTCCTTTGCGAACTGCTCCAGTGTGGGCCCTTCCCACGGGCTGTAGTCCTTCACAAACTGCTCCAGCGTGGGTCCTTTCCACAGGGTGCACTCCTTCAGGAACGGACTGCTCTAGTGTGGGTCCCACATGGGGCCACAGGTCCTGCCAGGAGCCTGCAAGTGCCAAGTTTTTTTTCCCCTTCTTAAATGTGTTATCACAGAGGCGCTACCACCATCGCTGACGGGGTCAGCCTTGGCCAGCGGCAGGTCCATCTTGGAGCTGGCTGGAACTGTCTCTGTCAGAGACGGGGGCAGCTTCTGGCATCTTCTCACAGAAGCCACCCCTGTAGCCCCCGCGCTACCAAAACCTTGCCGCGTAAACGCAATACAGTAGATAAGGTAAAGGTCAGCAAGCAACTGATGTAATTCTATGTTTAGTAGTGTTGCAGGTCAGTACTGGTGAATAGACAGCTTTTCTAGTGTAAAAAATAAGAGCTGGCTGCTTTGTCCTTTTGAAAAAGCCAAGGTTAAATAAAATTGGTACTACAGGTGGTGTTTGAATTTGTTATCTCACAACCCTCATTGGTGAGGAAAAGGTACCACTAAAACAAACCAGAAAGCAAAAGATAATGGAACATAACTCTTGTAAAAGCGGCAGCCCTAAACATCTTTACCAACTGTTTTCATCTAGGAAAAGTACTTAAGTAAGTACCCAGTTGTCTTCCTGTGCTCCAGTCCCTTAACTGTGTTGTTGGCCCTCCACTGGACTTGCCCTAGTATGTCAGTGTGTAGTCCTGAGGAGCCCAGACCTGGACACAGGACTTCAGGCTCAGCCTGACAAGTGCCAAATCCAGAGGAGCAGTTGCTTGCCTTGGCCTCCTGGTTCCTGTCTTGCTGCTACAGCCCAGGATGTGGTTGGCCACCTCTGCCACAAGGGCACAGTGCCGTGTGTTGTCCACTGTTGTTGTCCACCTGTTGTTGGCTCCTGTTGTCCACCAAGACTCCCAGCTGCTTTTCGGCAGAATTGCTCTTCCCTCAGTTGTCCCGCAGCCTGTCCTCTTGTGTGGGGTTCTCTCATCTGGAGAACACTATCTGCAGCTGTGAACCTGGTGTTCAACTGGTTCTGTACACAGCTTATGGCCCACTACCCAGTCTGTATCTCGCCTCTTGAGGTTTGGGGATGCTGTGTGGGAATGGGTCAAAAGCCTTGCTGAAGTCAAGGGGTGAGCAGTGTCCGTTGCTCTTGCCTTGTCCACAGAGCTGGCTACTTCTTCCTCAAAGACAGTTAATTGACTTTCAACATGCGCGTTTCAGTATAAAGAGCACTGCTTGAGATCCTTTATGAACAAATACCTTCCCTATGGGCATATACTGCCAGAAGCACGGTAGAGTAAGTTTTAGTGGCATCTTAAAAATGAGGATAATTTACTGTGGTAATGTTTAACGAGTAGAGTAAAGTAGTTTAATGACCACTTACTTCTGTTGACAGTGGCCAGAATCCTCTGCTGAAGAGCAAGAGAAGGTGATAATATACCTCTTATTCCTAGGATCTAGCACCTGGTTTTGCTGGGAGTATATGCTACTTTCCTTTGCTCGATGTAGCGAGAAACAAATCTAAGAGCCTTTATCAGTAACAGTACACACCTGCTTTCAAAAATTATTTAGAAGTTTGATTTGGATTCATAGAGATTATGTTTATATTTTCCAGTGACTGGAAAACAGTCTTCCTGGAAGGATGTGTCCTAGGATGTGGGAGACCTGATCTGCAATGGTTGGAAGAGCG